TTACGGGTGAATTTTCCCCCTCATTCAAGATGAGTTGTGTTTTCCTCTCAAAGTCAATACCATGCTGCCTCCCTCATTCATTTCTCAATAAACTTGCCGATGAATTTCAATCAAAATGCAGCAGTGGAGGGGGGTTGGGGGCTTGAGTTCTTTTAAAGCCCGTTGGGTGTGGATCATGCTGAAAATGGGGCAAGAAGAGGAGGCTAGAGAAAGGAGGGGAGAGAAAATCCTCGTCGATCAAGAGCCCCTTCTCCCCCCATCCCTCTCTGCCTTTGCTGTCTATCTTTCTCGTTGCAAAGGATTGAGACTGTGATTTAGTGAGGACAATCCATTTTAGAAGCCATTTAAAAAGCAAACTCTAACAATACAGTGCGACAAAAAGTGGGTCCAATTAAAATTAAATCAATGAATACTATCCTTATTGGAAAAAAGGGAACTCACCAATATTCTTAATTTTTCTTGTGAAAGATAAGTACGATACACTTCGTAGAAAAGTATAATGGGGAAAATACATGCTCAACTGTGAGCGCTTACTGTGTTTCAATCAATTTTCTGCTGGATTTCACAGGTCACTTGCTGATAACACGCTGTGGAATAATGCCACAGTGTGCTTCTCAAAGCCTACCTGACAAGCTGCCTGACAGTGGGGAGTGTGAGCACGTGTCACGTCAGCTCTCTAATTGGACACAAGGACCTTCTTCCATGGAACCTTGTCGTGATGCGCACAGGCTCACAAGGCCTTCAAGCCAGGCCCATCTAACTTGGCAATGAGTGTCTACTCCACTCCTGTGGAGCTACTGCTAAATACCAGCGTTGTAATGAGACAGCCAGGTATGGGGATATGGCTAGTGGATAACATGCTTTGACACATGCTTAAACCATTATGCCAACTGGTTACAACCCACTTCACTGTGATGATGACATTTATAAATACTTGTGTCATCCTTCCTCATTGCTGCACTATTATTTTTTTCAGCTTATAAAGAAGAATTCCAAATGCTATGTGGAGTATTTAAAAGAGTATAAATACACAACTTCTGAAGTATGTGGTGTGTGTTTGGAAGTCCACCTCTGAAGCCGATCTGTTTACATACTTCTCTGAATGCCTTTGATTATAACATATCTTTTAGTAGGCCACACCCCATCACCGACCAGCAACTAGTGAAGTACCAAACCCAACCCTGCAGGACAGGAAATGAAAAGGAAGCTCTCCATCTAATCAGCTTGTAAGTCTAGGACTTCAAAGTGACAGCAGGGCGGAGAGGATAGGCTCAATTCACCAGCTGGACAGCACAAGACCCTATCTGATGTGTTCCGATAAAAACGTCTGTGATTGTTTATTTAATCCTTGGAGGGGAGAACCGGGGTGGGAGGGGGGGGGTCCAAAACTACATAGCGTGTTACCTTCTAAAACTGAACCAGGAACACTTGCATTTTATATCACTACCGGTATTTATAGCGCTGACATACTTTGTTGCCCTCTAAGTTTGGATGGACATCCTAAGCACATGCATCTGTTTTCACCTTCATGAAATAAGACGCTTATCTATAGAAAAATCCTACTTCTGCTCTATCACCTCTTTCTTTTCACTCCCTTACAGGGTTGACATTTCTTGATCTCCACCAGTATTGAGTGAAGCACACATGACCCCTTTGTCCTTATGTTGATGAATGACTGCCTCATACCCATTTTGTCAGATTTTGGTGCAGTGGAGTCGATAGCGTCACCTTGACGAGGAAACTTTGTGATCCATCAGCCCTCAAGGCTGTCTGGCCATAACTAAGGCCTGGCAAGAACAGCTCTCTGCATGGGGCATGTGCTTCATCCAAAATCCTTCGCCCAGTGTTCTGCAGTCTTGTGAGGTCAAACGAATGGCTCTTATTTCTGCCGCTTTACAGTGAGGGGGGAAAAACAGAGAAGAAAAAAGCACTTGACTTGTACTAATAGCTGAGAAGCCATGCTGGTCACCAAAGGTCTGAAGACGAAGCACCCTGTCAGTGCCCAGCTTGGGAAATTAGCAAATAATGTTCCCTTCCCCCTGACAAATATGTGACAGCTCGCCTTCGCCAATCATTCTCTCCTAACGTTATGATGCATGTCCTGGATCCCCACCGGAGGATACAGGCGAAGTTTACTGACCCTCAATTTACCCATGACAAATGGGGTCCCGGTAAATGTGCGTTTTCTGGGGTGCGGAAGGGGTTCATTTTAAGCAATCCTGGTTATGTGGATGTCACTGATTAGGATAAATAGTGGCTGAGTGTGTTAGGACTGCTTGCAGAACCATATTACCAGGGGCCAGCATCGTTGCCCCTGGAGGGAAGCTCTCATGGAAACTTGGCCAAGATAAAAAACCAAAAGCTCTGATGCAATTAGGAGCTTAAATTGGATGAATTGTACAGTCGGGTTTTTATTTATGATTTACTCTTTCATACAGCTCTGTAACTAGGCAGTAAAATGGTTAGGAGGCAGTAAATGAGGCTGAAAATTGAGAGCTTTTGTTTAAGATATTCGATTAAACCGACTTGTGGTGTTTTTGGTGCTTAATAAAGTGTAAAGTTGTAATAAAGTATTGACTCAGGTGCAACCATGACTTTCTCCTTTTGATTTTCTACAACCTTGCTGACAGTTGGTTCTACAGGTCTTGTCCAGACCAATAGAAAACCAATACATGGATTAGACAGAGGACAAGCATGTAAGCTCCAGGGGACAACACTCTGTCAGAAGGTAGGAAAAAAAAGCTACTAAAATAACAAAAAATACACAATTTCTTACTGCTTTAAAATATGTCAATGAAAGACATATACGCTCAATGAATCAGCCAGCTCCAGCCTGCTAAAGTTGTATATAGTCTGTTTGTCTCATTAGTGTTTCAAACATTCGATAGTCAATGCCAGCAGGATTATTTGACATAGACTACATGGTGCTCTCTTTCTGAGAATAGATTGTGAGTTTTGGACCCATTCCAGGGTGCTAACCTGAGTGAGGACATGTCCCCTCTGCTGTTAGAATTGACTGCAGTCTCCTCTGTGTTGACTCTTGGTCATTTGTGATAATTTCTTAAATTGACCGAGTTAAATCTCCACAATTAGGGCGGTGGTGAAAGTGAAGCCAACATGAAGGGAAAAAAGAAGAAAAAGGAATCCCAAAACTTACTCTTCTCAAGCTGTGTTCTCAAGTCACGCTTAAAGCCAAATGCTTTGATAACTAGACCTTTGATATGTTCATGGTGCTCTACAAGAACACCCTGTGCCTTTTTGACAGCATTCTATCACCACATGTCATATACCGCTCATGTAATGTATTATTGCAATTCCAACTTTTCTAATCTATTTCTGCACATAGAGCCATTTGTTCAAGTGCTATAAATCTGAAAGAAAAACTGTGGTTTTGAAAATGAGCTGTTTCATTTTTAAACACACGATCCACTCTCTTTGCACTCAATGCAACAGCCAGTTCACATTTTTATGTCTGAAAGAAGCCGCTAACATACTTTTATCAAGCAATTACTGTACATATAGAATCAGTGGCACCTAATTCTTGTGTTAGGCGTTCTGCTCTCTTTAAATGTTTCATTTCTCTCAGCCGTCGCCTTCTGTACAATCAGGGTGAGACACAGTGGGAATAGGAAAGCTAAGGAGTCGGACCTGTCTATTGGTGACTTTCGCTTTTAATTCACCGCTCTAATCAATTGTACCACCATTGCCTCCAGGGGTAATTGTATCTTAATACCAACTGGAAGTGAGAAGGGAAGACAGAGAGGAAGAATGGGGGAGAAAAATCAACAAAGATAGAGAGAAGGGGACACATTTCTCCAGTAAAACCTGATGGTAATCATCCCAATCCGCTTAGCCTCTGTGACTAATGGGGTCTGTTCTTCAGGGACCTGGCACTTTCACTGGGGTGCTATAGAAGCCATTAATGTCTTAACTTATACACCTTCTCAGGGCTGTGCAGTAACACATGTACACACACACACACACTTTTGCTCTCCCCCTCATTCACTTGCACAGAAACAGTCAAACACACACACTTACGCAGCCACAATACACTCCTGTTTCATTATCCTGGTGCCTTGTTGGCCTCTGCTCCACTCCTGCAAGGGAGGTTAAATGCAGGAGAGCTAGCCCAGACTGTACGGATGGAGGAGAAGGGGACGGAGGCTGGGGGTGGTAGTTTTGGAGGTTTGGGGATTGTGAGAGGGAGGACTTGATGAGAAACAGCTGCCCCAGGATGGAGGGGTCTGGTTAGAGGTTTTTTTTTTCTTTTTCCTGGGGGTTTCTCCAGCTCTGGCCTTGCCATGCTCAAGGCCAGGGCTGTGCTCAAAGCATGGGACTGCTGGGGAAAGGAAGGGATGGGGGAAGTTAAAGTGCTTTGACATGCCCCCATTTCATTCTGCCCATCAGAGTCAGAACAGGGAGGCTTCCAGGTCAGACAGGCTTTGACCTTTGCAACCCCTGTCTACTCACGATGATGACAGATAAGACCACCACTTCCTTCTGTTAGCCAAAGATAATCAGATCTTTTACTCCGAGTGTGAAACTCACACTCCCTTTTTCTCTCACGTCTCTCATCTCTTCCCACACTTTCTCTCTCATGAATTCATGTTGATAACACACGAGAATAACTTCAGACACACTCATTCACTTAACCCAGTTATTGATTTTTTCTAATTTGATTTATACAAAAATGAAACCACATTTGACTTATAAATTCAGCAAATTAACAGAAAGCATAATCTGTTAGACTAAATGACATGTAAGGCCTATTGGGAGAATGCGTTATCTAATGAGTTTGGGTTTAATAGAGTTTAGCAACATCTTTTCACTAACTAAACAGATCCTTACACATTTTCTACATTCACAAAGCCTGGTCACTTTAATATAACTGCCTGGGCTGATTGCTAGAGGCTCCATCCAGAGAGAGAGGAAGGTGGAGGAGTAGAGTAGAAGCCTGTAGAAAGAAAAAAGAGAGACAGGATGAGAAGGTTTTGACTCACCAGTATAGACAAATCTCCCAGGGGCACCTTTGCAGAACTGCTTGGACTTGTAGGACAGCGTGACTTCCACAACACCAGGGATGTGCCGAGGCGGAGTCTGAACACGGATGGCGTGGGGGGTTATCAGCTGGATCACAGAGAAAAGAAGAAGTAATGATTCCTCTGCAAAACAAAAGTCTTCAAAGCGTGTGAAATTCGACAGGTTTGTTTTATTTTAAAGTGATCTTTGTAGCAAAACCAACATGCATACCTCGCTCCATACAAGCATAGTGCCGAACACGACTTGTAAGCCGTCAAAAAAGTTGTCCCCAATGATGATGACAGTGGCTCCTCCAGTGGTCCATCCCTCGCTGGGGCTGATAGCCTTGATGCATGGGGTGGCTGCTTATCCAAGACAAAGAGAAGAGCAAATTCAGCACCTATGCTTTAACACTCGAACACATCTCTGTTCACTAAGGCACATTCCTGCATCACCCCTACGTTCAGCCCTTCGTGCCTTTCTCACAAAGACATATTATGGAAATTACCTCAGAAAAAAAAAAAAAGGAAAAAATGATGGATTTGTCCTTTAAGGCATGAGAATCAAAATCATTTATCAGTGCAGTGGAGTGGTGTAGTTAAGCAGACCCTTCAAATGGTCCACTTCACAAAGGCTAAACGCCAGGCTCACTAGGAAAATGATTTGATGGAGCAAATTATGTGTCAGGGCAAATGTAGCTATCAGAATTGATTAAGCATGTACCCGCATGTACAGTAAAAATTTTAAACTTGAGCACATCTTAAATGAGTCAAGAATACAAGTAGTTAAAGTGGAAATGACAAGCTAAAGCTTCGCTGCTTCATGTTATTTCATTACCTTTGTTACAGTTCAGGCACACCGAGTGTAGTTTCAGGTTTCATAACGTGAAACGTGCTCATGAATTATTCAGACTGAGGTTGTTTTTATTATTTTTTATTTTTTTCTTGCTTTCTTTGTGTGATCGATTCAATCCATTTCACGTCGTTTATTACGACGCTTTTCATCTGGCATGACTTCTGCTGTGTAGCTCTGCCATTCATCAACACTCCGGGTTGTTATTATAATCTAATTTGAGTGATCTTGCGCCTCCCTTTCACTGTCATTTGATGCATTACCTTAATATGGTGTTCAGCAAAACACCATGTTTACAACAGAAACAGCATGACAACTAGCCATAAAATAGCAATATCAAATTTAATCCATTTTCATCAATATCTTTTAATGCACGATAAATTGTTGGCAGTTTTTCCCTGATCTTTGAAATGGGCACAACTATTCCAGCAAGTTCCCTTTTATTCCCCTTTACAAGCTCACTTCTAAACCTCCTTTATCCTTTCCATCCAGTAAGTAAATCACAGTCAGCCATTGTTGTATGGATCACCTCAGACAAGACATCTCCCTTTGTTTGCCTTGCTGTTGGGTCTGTTCAGGTCATGTTTGCTCTCTCTCCCTGCCCATAAAGTGCACACACACACATTGGTACTACAGGGAATCTGACTTTAACAGGCGCTGTTGACTTCATGCTAATCGCCTCGTACAGATTTTCATTTGTGAGGCCTGGAGGAGTGACATTTGCTTTCCTTAATTGCGAAGCAGAGCGTCTGAAAGAGGACCAACCCTCCATGGGCATGCTGGGCCCCCTCTAAGGGCCTGACCTTCATCAGTGCGGACGATTACAGCAAATAATTCACCCTTCAAAATTACTGTAAACAAATTGACTTTGGGGATGAGAGAGAACGGAGGTGGGGGGGGGGGGGGGGGTTGAGATGGCAGAAAGGAGGAGGAGGAGGCAAAAAGAGTGTCTGATGGTGACGGCAACTGTTGGGGGGCAGCTGCAGCCTGAAACCTATGACAGGCATACACAATCACGCACACGACCACAGACACACCACGTCGGAAATCCCAGTCCCCCCCCACCACCACACACACACAGAAGGACCCATGGAGAGGGAACGATTGAGGCCCTAAGCCGTCCACCCTTCTGCCTGAAAATTTGCATATGTCTCAATGCACAGACAGAGCGGGGAGCATGTGCTGAATGGGGACCGTAGCGAAGTGGATTACACAGTCAGCACAGGCGATCCGATGACAGACACGCACAATGCCCCCCTCAGCAGATGATAGGCATCATGAGGAGTGGACGGATGAGGATGCAAAGAGCCGGCCTGCTGGTCTGAGTGTTGCATCGTTAAGTCTTTGCAAACTTTGGCGTACGACAAAGAAAACTAACACGAATTCAAGTTCACGTGTTGTTTATTTATTTAATTATTGTACACAGAGTTGTGCGCTTGAATTTATTTCAAGATCTCCGTTGCTTTAGAATGACTGCAGGCTGCCAATCTGTTTTAATCTTGTTCTTCTCTGTTTAGGGTGAGCCGTAGAGGACGTCAAAACCGATCCAAGATCTGAGCGGAGGAGGTTCGGGCTCTAGTATTTTGACACTCAAACAGGTCTGCTGTGGCCCTGTGAAGCCGTCCTTTGTTCTGCCTGCTGAAATGTGTTGTAATTGTGCTGTGGGATGTCCAGATGGTCGGTTGATAGTGCAGCTGATGGGATTATACCTTTTACCTCTCCCTGGGCCATCTGTTCCCTTTGACTCTCTCTGTCTCTCTCTGTGTCTCACTCTCAGCCTCTCTCACTGTTACTCCCTCCTTCTCTTTCTCCTTTCCTCCTATCCTTCTCCCCCTATTCTTTTCTCCTTCTCTTTCTTCTTCTTCGACCCAGCAGTCTGGATTCACTTGTCTTTATTGCATAAACCCTAACAGCATTACAGCCACTTGGCATGCAAATGAGGCAGGCGCTGCAGGCCCTATGCTGAGTCTCCTATATTGTCTGAGGCTCCATAATAGCGGGACTAAGCTAAGGAACGTGCATGTATGAGTGTGCGTCTGTATTCGTTGGAGGTGATGCTGTCTGTGAAAGACTCAGCTATTTGTGAGCGTGTTTATGCACCTTTGGGCCTGAATCCACACATGTCTGAGTGACAGGCAGCCTCAAAGCACATTCATGTCTGAATGCATAATATGCTTGTTGTGTGACAGTGCACACAAGCGAACCAAAATGTGACATGGGGAGAGTCAAGTATGGCATCTACAGGCTATGCCCAGTCTGTGCCAATAGGGGGCAGCACTTCTTGATCAATGGGAGGCAGAAGAGCAGCCAGAGCCTGGAGGAAATATGCCTTCCCCCTTTCAGCCACACAGTCAGTCAGTCAGCCACAAAGCTGATGCTTCTTGCCCTGTGAACTCCAGAGAAAGAATGTGTTGCTAATTTAAAGCACGCTGTCTGTCTGCCTCCCGAGTTGTCAGAGCAGTATGGACGACTTGGCTGCATCACATTTTTCAACCAGGTCTTCTTAGATGTGTCACATCACTTTTTGTTAATGGCGACTTAAAGTAAGCTATCGCTGCTGATGCATGATAAATTAGTTTGTTGTGGAATTGAGCGAGAGAGAGAGAGAGAGAGAGAAATATCCCAACTTATGTTTAATCAGAGGGAAGGTGTTTTAAAGTTATTAGACAAAGACATGTTCAACTGGGCGGTTGACAATAGCTGCTTTTACTGCTTTACGGGGCATCACTCGGCTGCTTTGAAGAGTGTGGTGAAGAGAAGAATAAAAGGATGGTTGGGGTAACCTGTAAAGAACACAAACGCACACAAATACACATAGACAAACACACACAGCACACAGAAGGGTCTCGTGGGAGTGGGGGAACATGGAGGCAAGGGCTCAACCTCTTTAATTGCTCTCCTCATTAAGAAACTGGTTGCTAGGAGATCCACACCTATCGTGTCATAAACGTGAAACACACAAACAGAACGTCAGCGAACATAATGACTTTGGTGCTCCGGGCAGGACTTTAATTATTTGATTTTGTTCTCCAGTAGAGGAGTCATTAATAAAGACAAAAACAAATAGATTAGCTTTTTTCCCCACTAGGACTGGAGAGAGCACCGAGATATATTAATTGTCTGGGTTGTTTTTTCTTTCTTTTTTTTTTCTGTATTAGCTGTTGTTGTATTAAACATTACATTTGCTTTTGGTGATAGAACCATTAATGCCCATTAATGTGTAGAGAAGCTTGTTTTAGTCAGTGGTGTATATAAACTGTTTGCCCAGCCATAATTGGCTCTTGAAATTTGAAGATAAGCAATTTGCACACTTGGCCCAAGTCGGTTCACTTTTCCTCCTCTCCCCTTTCTCTTCTCTTTTTAACAATCTTTCAGCTCTGTGTTTGCTTCCATCTGCAAGTGGAGGCCACGAGGGTCACAAGGTTATACTTAGTGCATTTTACTTTTTAGATTTCCCATGGTTTGGTGGTCCTACTTTTCTCTCTTTTGGCTGAGAAGGCAATCAGTCCATCATATGGAATCAGTTGGAAGAAAAACAGTAAGTTCTGTTTTCCTCACAGACCACCCCACCCCTCTATGCACACACACACACACACACCATCAAGTGACCCCCCTCCTCTTCTTTCTGTCTTTCTCATTCCCCCTGTTTCAGTTCTCTCGCAGCTAAATCTGCAGAACCCCAATGGCAGGAAATTGACCTCACAGCCAAATTCTTCAGCAATTTGATCATGTTTCACATAAGCTTTTAGGACAAATGTAGGTGCATAAAGAGTCTGGAACTAATATAAATTTATTTTAATGCCTAATGCATATTCATACTATTTCCAGTCAGTACAAAACAAATTATAAAAGAGGCAAGTAGGAAGTTAAATGATAAAAAATGAAAGTGATCAAGGAGCAAAAGATGATAAGAGACTAGAAGTAGCTAGGTGTGTGATCTGAAAGTTGGAAGAGTGTCTGAAAGGAACTAAAAGGAAATGAAAGGAGGGTAGCAAATTATAAGATGTAAAAATGTGCCTACCATTCTCCAGATAAGGAGGCGTACCTTCTGAAGGGTCGAGTCTGCGAGCCCTTCGCCCATGCTTGGAATTGTTGTGTACAAACATGTTGTCAGAGACAGCCAAGACATGACCGTCCACATTGACGGTCGTTGACACGACAACCTGCAGGAGGAGTAGAAATTAAACTTTATTTGACAAGTTTAAAAGAAAATAATCGAACTTTGAAAAATACCCAGTGAAATTAAAGAAATTTAAGATTTATGCTTTGATGAAGAACATACATGTACGCCACATTGCAAAAACTCATTGAAGTGGTTGTACTATTTTGACTCGTCATATTGCCATTACCTCACCCCTATTTACAGTTTGATTGCTTTTTTTAAGTGTCCTGCTTTTGTGTACAGCTAATTGACTTTTCAGTCACTGAAATATAATTTTTAATTACCCACAATAGCAACTTTCATCGCAGCAGAAGCTCAGAATTATTGATCAGCTTGCCCACCTTGCTGAGCATGGAAGACCTCCCTTTTAAAAAATATTACTGGAGTCATTAGCAGCCAAACCGTGCACCATCTCATCACTCAGCAAACATTTTACTAGGATCAAATTCCAAGCCACACTCCATTTTTCATAATGCTTATTTTTGTTGTTGTTTTTTGGCTACCACATTCCAAACAGTGAGCTGAATGTGAATAGCCAAAGTGTTTCTGAGCCGGAAACAGAGAGCCCCTCTCAGGTTTGCTTCGCCGGTAAGTGACCTCGGTGTAGCGGTGGAATTTTAGGGGGATACTTTTTTTTCTTCGTTGGTTTGGGAAAGGTGGGGGAGTTTGGGGAGGTGGAGGAAATGTAGGGGAAGTGAAAGAGCTCCATTCTTATGAGCAGGTTCAGAGCTGGGCCAAGCAGAGGATGATGGATTGGGCCCTTTCTGGCCTCCAGCTGGTTTTGGGGGGTAATAAGTAGAGTCGAAGGCATGTAAAATACACAACTTTGGCCGAAGAAACACCTTCAGTGGAACATCTGGGAAATCTATTAGGGGGAAATGGCATACTAACAGCTAGAAAAAAAAAGTAAGGTATGACCATGAGCAACTCTAAAAAAAATCCTATTGTTTTAGACACAAAAAAGTGAAACGTAGGTCTTGCATTCCTTCTGACACGCAGAAGTGAAGGGTGAAAGCCCATGGTGGCTGTCATGCATCAGTCCACATTCACCCTGAGGGAAGATTTGAGGAGGCAGGGGAGGTCTGATGGTGGTGACATCAGGAGGGGACACCCTGTCTTGTCTGTTTCATGTCTGGGCTTCCTCCTGGAGGATGCTGGCTTATGTGTCTATCACAGAATAGTGCTGCCAGTGATGGACGTCCTCCTGTAGTTTGTAGTTACCCTGATAGGACAAATCACACTAACTCTCCTTTTCTCACCTTGACCTGTGGGCTGCTTGTGGTAAAAATGTCTGAATTGGATGGATGAATGGTTGGATAAATGGATCAGCGGGGGGTCAATCATTGCACGACTCAACTTCTTGACACATTAAAAGCAAGAGGGTAAAAGAAACAGTAAAATCACTCAGTGTTAATGTCATTTTAGTATAAACTGAAGCCATTTTCAGATGGTTAAGATGTTTTCACTGACTATACAGAGAGCTACATATGAGAGACATTAAGTGTATGCACATGTGGCTTAGAGGAGAAGGATATGGAGAAAGCAAACACATGTGCTCCTAGCATTTATGTGCATGCATCTTTATGTGCATGTGCATCTCTGTGCATGCTTGTGCATATGTGTGTGCAAAAAAAAAAAAAAAAAAAGGTATGCATTTCCTCTGCCAGACAGATCTTGAGTTAACACTGTTGTTACATGTGGTTGGATCATCCTCCCCTCTGTGCTGAGGCTCAGAAAGCTGTCAGGAACACAACTGATGGCACTCTTAAATCCTATATCCTTATTTGTGTCAGATGGTATTCCCTAATAAATATTCTTTCCCGAGAACACAGGACACAAAATCCCCCAGTCTCTCTTTCTCTGGTTTTTACCTCCTTCAGTGTTAGCAATAAGAATGTGTTCATATGTGAGTGTGTGTCAGTGTGAGTTAGTGTAATACAGCAGCTGTAGATGTGCTTTTCTACACCTGTGCGCATGTGTATGCGTGTCTGAAAAAAAAAAGAGAGACAGTGAGAGACAGGGACAGAAATAGAACATATGTGTGAAATAGGTTTCAGTCACCTGGAATCTGCGCATGTCTCGTGGATTCCCTGCATTCTTCAGACAGTTCTGATTGCACTTGAGAAAGAACTTTAGGAAGAATCTGAAAGAGAGCACAAAGAAAAGCAAAAACGATTAGTTGTTTTCTTAAAGCTTGAAGAAAAAGAAAAAAAAACGACAAGATATTTAAATTAGACTCCTCAAACACTCCCAAATGCACGTTTAGTCATTCATCGCACCATTTGACCATTCCGTTTTATATATTTCTCTTTTAAAATCGAGAGCATCAGTCTTTTTGTGATCATATCCTCTCACCTGAGTTCACGGGTCTTCCCTAACATCCATCTGCCACTAACATACAGGAAAACACTTGATATTCCACCCACCTCTTTAATCCCAGGACACCCCCTGTGCAATTAAAGTTCTCCTGTTCAATAGGGAAGCAAATGAGGCCCACCTGTGACCAGGTCTTGTTTGAAGAGCATCAGGGATAAAGGACCTAACAAGGTGAGAGCGCGCCACAAAACTTATAGTCCTGTCAGGCAATTAGGCGGACACTCCTGGGACCACAGTATGCCACACACACACACAGACACACACATAATGCATACACACACACCCATGTACTTGTGGGTGGGTGAAGCAATTATGCCACAAATTACAACCTGGCTAATCGTCTCTGAACAAATGTCACGTCTGAGTGAGATCTGGGCTTGGTTAGTTCGTAAGCTCTTCTTTTGTTTTCTTTAGGATCTTGCAGAATTTATTGATAAGGTATTAAACCGAGAGTCATATATCAGATGTGACCTGCCTGACATGAAATGGTTAAAAAATAAAAAATACAAATTGAAGAACGCCACTGAGAGAAATTATCTCGGATGCAGTCTATTGTCCAAAATTGTACACGACCTCGGAGAATAAACAATGAAATCGACTTTGCTTTAGCGAATTCTCTCCACAGAATCTCATAACTGATGGTAGCTTTGCTTTCTCAAATTATAAATAGAGTACAGTCATATTTATTTTTCATCTCAGTGCATTGTTATTACAATATGCAACTCTATTGTTGCCGTTGTAATACTAAATTGGCTCACAGAATCACAGTGGTTTACTGGATTACCGTAGATTGCACCATAGATTGCATGGCCATTTCATTCTGCTAAATTCAGTGGCTTGTGTGGCCAGCAAGGACACTTTCACAACACTTAAGACTTCTCGTTCACCCAGTGGGATTCTGGCCAGGTCATAAATCAGAGTCTGAAATGACCCTTCTAACCCTGGCCACATTAGCACATGCACTGGTCATTTAGAAGCGTTCTTCGATAGACTCCTATACCTTTAACTTTAGCGAGGACCCAGGAGGGAGAGGTGAGGTGAGGAAATATTTTCGCTCCACATCCAAGGAGCTTTGGCTTAGACATCAATAAAAGATGTTTTAACCCATGCCAGAATGCTGATTGCCTGTTGGTGTGTGGTGAGGCCGTAAAAAACCTGACTTGTCATTAGTGCATTTCACTTGATTGTGTGCACTGTGTTTTCGAGTTGCATCTGTTGGCTGATCATCAAAATGACCATTATGTACTCTAATTCCCTGACCCTGTTTTTATTTCCCCAAAGAGTCATAATGTAGAGCAGCAGACATCTGCGGAAAGCAGACCTGAAATACGACTTTTATTTGTCTGTCGCCTCTCGTACAGAATGTGTGTATTTATGTGCATGTGTGTGTGTGTGTTTGCGCTGCGGTGTGTTTGTGTGACGATGTGCATGCACATGCATCACCTATTGAGAGACAATTTATGTCAGCGCAAGAGATAGAATATATTTCCCAGGCAATGCATTCACTTCATAAAAGACACACATCACTTCCAGAGTTAGTCCTGTCTCTTTCTTGGACACTTTAATGCTTTTACATACAGCTCCTACAACTGCAAAACAAAAGTTAAGAAACAATAAGCCCAAGAAATTGAGTACCCACACATTCATAAAGTAGTTCCTTTATGCTTAATTTTATGAAAGCAATTAAGCACAATTTCTTTCCTAAACAGATAAGCTTAATTTTCATCATCCACAGCAGTAAAGGTGCTATAGCATCCATTACATTTGAGTTGGTTAAGATTTTCCATGAGCGCTTGCAAATTGGTCCTTGGTGAAAAGGAGTGCAATTAAGACAAGGCCCCTCTCTCTCTCCTTTACTTCTTAAATATCTACAGAAGTTTGTGCTGGTGTTTTGGCACACACAGAGACAAAAGGAGGTTGTTTAATTGTTTTTTAATGGGATATCAAGTCGTCGCTGCCATTAGATGTTGGCAATGGAGGGCAAAGGGGGATAGAGAGAAAGAATGAACTGCAATTAGGTTTGATTAAAGCTATCCTTCTCAATAATCAGCTGTTCTGACAGGACAGGGGGACCCTGGTGGCCGCTGAGATGGAGGAAGGTGTTGAGTGATATTAAGGCCAATGAAGGGGATATTAACATGGCTAATTAAAGCTCTTCCAAAGTCGGTAGAGGAGGCTCTCAGTGGACTGCACTGGATGAAATAATCGGCCAAGGCAGCTATCAGTTGGAGGAGAGAGAGGAGCGCAGGAAGGGGTGGGGTGTAGTCCATGTGAAAGAAGGGGTGGGGGCTGGGGGGGTAAAGGAGGAATAGTGAGAGGCATAAAGGAAAACTATGAAGTGTGAAGAAAGACAAAGAGCAAGACATCGACAAGCATATAGAGGAAGACTTCCAGGGTTGCTCCAGCAGCTCTTTTTGACATCAAGCCTCTCAGTCCGTGTACCCCGAAGTCTGCCAGCATAACTAAGATCTGACATGGGCTTTTATCTCCGACAGCTAGTCATACAGGTCCACAAATCAACGTTAAAACAATCCTGCTTATGCCTTGGTCTAAGGCAATTAATACGGTTCTCCTGTAGTACCTCCATGCTCGCCCACTGCCGAAGCTACTAATCATGCCATAATGATTTCTCTCCCTCTGGTCAAAGGGGAAATAGATTGTCTCTTTAGTAATGCAGCAGGCTCTGCGCCTTCCACTCGCTGGCTTCACAGACCCGGTAATTGAGGAGAAAAAGGCCGACTTTGGCACTTTGACTGATTTGAGGGCTGCTAGACCCTCTTATCTTTACTCTGATCATTTTAGGCTGACACTCAAAGGAAGACCCATCGCCCTAATTCGAGCTCACCCTCTCCCATCATCAAAAAGAAGGGGGATACGGGGAAAAAAAGAAAGGAGAGAGTAGAAAAAAGAAAAAACAAACATGAGGAAGGTCTTCTTCCATTTAAATGGCCATCTTAATTGCCGGGTTGATGTCACTCGTGCAAAAATGTCCATCCTTTTGATTTGAGTGAAGAGGGCAAATAAGGATAATGTTGTATTATTAAGAAGGTTCTATCGATCGTTGAGGCTTGCTGTCCTGTCAATTGAATTCATTTTTATCCATTGATTTTCCAACGTTTCGTTTTTATTAATGACTTGTAAAACAGAAAGAAAGTCAAGTTTGTGTTATCTGGAATTTTTTTAATTTTTTTAAATTATTTTTTATTATTACTTATTGGGGAGCTTTTCCCCTTCATCGATAGAACACCTTGTTCTTATTGTCCAAAAGAGCTTCCCCATATTTACTTAGGCCGTTACACAATACACTGACAGATGGCCACAGTATCTGTAAGAGGCAGGTATTGACAACTCTAAGCTCCTGATTGGTGCCCCGGCACTAATGACTAGCATGCAGTGTCCACAGCCGGCAGCCATGACAGTGAGGTCATCCGTTGCAGGGCGGTGAGTATCGATCACCGCCCAGCTCCAGCCCATCAGGCCCCAGCTGCCTCCCAGACTCAATGGGCCCCTGTTACAAGAGCCCTGTAAGAAACGGCTCCCAACACCAGACTACAATCTGCTGACACCAGATCTCTACGCTGAGATAGTAGTACACGGGTCAATAGCGTATCGGATTTCCAAAACGCCAGGGTCTTAATGTCAAGCCTCCTGCCTTCCCTACCTACTGCTCCAGTTATTAGGCACTTCACTGAACTGCATTCAGATCCCTGTTGTGACAAGGCGGAGCAGGTAAAACGAGAAATAGAGACACTTATAGATCTTAATCTTCCCGAACACTTATTTATGCAGCTGAGTGGGCTCAGATATATATGCCCGGTAAGTCCCTGGGAGGCCAAACTTAGCAGCCAGGCCATTTCTGTCAAATTCTGGTTTGCCACTGTCCTCCCCTCGTCAAGCAGAGCTGTTTTTCTCGCCTTAGCCGAAGTAAACCACAGCACATTAACAATATTTGCTCTACCCCTGTACAAGCGCCAAGGGACCAGACCCACAGATCCTATCACTTCTTTATCAGGGAACAAGTGCCTCACTATCCAACCTTATTGGGTTTGGAAGATTAACCCCTTCCACTCACGGGCCCTACCCGCCTCCTTCGAGAGTAGGGAGGCAGATGTCACTGTGATTATTATTGTTCGACATCAAATATCTCAACAATATGTTTCTGAGAAATTTATTGGATACTTCCAAGGCTTTTGCAATTTTTTTTTTCTGCTGCTATTGTCAGTTCATTTTGTTGTTCCATATTTCATATTTTTGTTGGTGGAATGTGTGTTTTGAGGGTGTCACAAATAATTTATGTGCTTCCTCTGCGACGTAAGATGTAGCTCTGTCCCTCCATTCATCCCTCTTTACCCTCTCCTCCACCATCCCCCTCCTTTCTCTCTAATGGGCAGAGTGGCATTGACATTATTTCACTTGAGGATCCCTCACTCTGTCAATCCCTCTTCATTTACTCCATGGCTACAGGACTCATTATGGTATCTCTTCCTCCTTCACTCTCCCTCACACTCTCACTCATTCTCTTCACCTCCTGTCTTGCTTGCTCTCCAGCTATCTCTCTCCCTCTCTACACTGTTAGTTTCTTACTTAAGAGAATCGCTCGTCTTCACAAATGGTTTCACGTCAAACCCACTCCCAAGCTTGCCCCCACTGATTCCCTTCAGGCTTTGGCACAGGTTTACTGTAACAGATTAGACAAAGACTTGGAGCTCCTGCTAACTATCCATCACTTGCTAACAGTGGACTAAGGCTGTGTGCTTTATGCAGCTT